TCCGTACAATTCGAGCGATCGTCGCATGCGCAAAACAATACGAGTGTTTCGCCAGCTCATTTTCTGTCGCTTTCAATTTTTCAATGCATATAAATAAACGATCGAAACACAAAATCGTTCGTGTCAACGTATCTCGCGTGATATCCCAATCGTTTATTTGTAATGGTTTAAAAATTTCACGAAGGATAAATAATTCTCGCTTTATTTGCGTATACATATTTTTTAATAATACGTATTTAAATTAATTAAAAGTAATTTGCTGTAGCTCCTTTCGAGTTTCCTAGATACGTTTTTACACGAGAATAACGACACGCAACTTCCAGGTGTAAATTTCCAACTTCTATGCTCAGATGTCGGTTGAAATTTCATGCGGAGCATGGTATACGAATAAACTTTTGACACGCACGCATGGTTGTACGCCTTCCGGGAAGCTAAATTAAATTAGCTGATAACCTTTCACCGTGATGCATCTGCAAACATTTGCAATTTCTGTCTTGCAATCCCGATTGTCCAATTAAAATTCACCGTGAAATTCAAGACAGCGATGACATTGTTAAATTTCCTGTATCGAATCACTTTATGTATTTTTTGAAAAGAAAGGTATAAAATATTGTGTTGTAAATATATTCAATAAACATTTAAAAATTATTTAATACTCATGAACGTAAATTTCTTCTTCTTATCACTTTTTCAAAATTTTGAAAACTTTTATAAAAGATATTCAAATCTGAACATGCTGAAATGTTTCTTTTTAATAACTCAGAATTGGATAAAAATACAGTCATATGAATAATTAAAGCTACCTAAATCTAGATTGTCACATAAGATTCTTTTACATGTGTAAAAATTGTTCCAATTTTCATAAAATCACCTAGTACTTTCCATTCGCTTTACACCTGATTCCGCTGTTGAATCTGCTGTCTCAATAAAACCGCTTTATCAACCTTTCCTGATTTTTATAATATTGCTACAAATTGTGAAAAATATTGGTATTTCGCACATTTAGACGTAGTAAAAAGCCTTAAATTATTTATTGATACTAATCTGTTATCAAAATTTCGCGGAACTTCTTAGAAAATAGATTTACACTCGTTTAGATTCACACACAATCTTCTAATTCATCAGCTCGATGTACATTCATCCCTGGGAGAAGAAGAGAGATCGTGCGACTCGGAACAGACTCGGTTACCGACATGCGGATGCATGCCGGAGGAAATAGCGTGGAGGAGGCTCACGGGAGAGAGAACGGGAAAGGTCGGTCGGTGGGGGTGGATTGGGGCCGAAGAAGAGGAGGAAACGGGAGCGCGGCGGGACGGTAGCGTCGGCGGCATTCCCGGGGGAGAGGGAGCGATGGGAGGGGGGGGGGGAGATATTATTGATTGTTGTTGATAATTAGCCGGTACAGGCGCGCGCGTCAATCACCCGGCCAAGGCGATGTTATTAGGCTGTTGGTTAGCGCCGGGCGAAGCTTCTCGCGAGAAAGCTACACGCCGCGGATGTATACGTGGATGTTGCGCGGATAGTGCGCGTGTGCGTGATCCGAGATGCGTGTCGTAAACGGCGGCAGCGGCTGCGCACGCCCGCGCGGAAGGCCCGCCATTGAGCCACCCGATTACCACCCCTTTCCCTACCCCCTCGCAATTCGATCTAATACGCTGCGCTGCGACGCGAGAGAAGGTTAATTACGCAGTTAATGAGAGCATTTAGATGTACATATGTATGTATGCCAGAGAGAAAATACCTACTTGTGGGATGCATATATTTATATATTTATGTAAATAATGGGAGTATTTTTTATAAATTAATGAGAGTATTTTATACATGTATTTGCGCTCGTAGGAAAATATATGAAAGAAAATATCTTGTATGGGGTATATATATATATATTGTATATTAAATGGAGTTCCTGCGGAGAGGTGCTGCTCTCCAAAAGAGAAACTTTTCGATCGACGAGGAACGGATCGAGGCGAGGGTAGAATTTACGACAGAAGCGGGCGCGGAGGAAGGAAGGAAGGAAGGAGCGATGGGGGAGAGGGAGGATGGCAGGGTGTGTTCGATGGAAAATACCTATTTGCTCCGCGGTCCCGCAGGATCAATCTCTTCGTCGGTGGCGCTGTTCGGTTTCTTGGACGATATTACACTCGGGGACGGGAATAATGCGAGGTTTGATCGGGCGTTCGTCGACGAGTAACCGCAACACCCGGGATGGATGTAATTTGCAGGGAAAATGATCGCGTAATAGTTCGCCCAGTGAGCGACGCGTTCTGCATCGTGTCGCTTGTTGTATAGTCGCATTAATCTCAGCGGAAAGGGCTTACGAGAAACGTAAGATTGAAATTTATCTGTCCTTTTTATTCATTTAATTGTTCGAGTTCTCGTGACTTTCATAGTTTCTTAATAAATTCTATTTTAAATTTTACGCGAACTCTTGGTGTGATCAGAATTTCATTTAAATTTGCTAAATAAAAATTATACTTATTTTTGTATACTTAAATTAGAATTATTTTTGATGGAACATTAATATTTATTCAATCATCTCTGACACGCGAAAGGAAACCGCGTGAAAGTTTGGACAATGTTACCTCGAAAATGAAAATAATGCGAGTCTTGATTGGGCATTTGGCAACAAGTAATCATCCATGTCCAAAGAGGTGTAATTTGCAGGGAAAGAGATAGCGTATTAACTCGCCGCGTGTTGACGCTTTAAGTTCTCTCCTAGCAAAGTGTTCGAAAATTACCCAGTGATTACTCACTTAATGATTTAATCCGCGAAATTGCACGGTCTGGCGACGATCGCGTAATTTACAAGAAAATTGTAATTTATACGAAAGTAGGTAAGGAAAAAAAGTGCACGACAGGTATCAATATACACAGTAGACCTTAATCTTCGAAGCCAGAGCGAGTCTTTTTAAATCGAATAATTTGCACAAGTAATATCTGTTTTTAGAGGAGAAATTTTTGGAAGAGATATTTTTTAAAAATTGAATATTAAACAAAATTCTCGACTAAACGAAATTAAATGCTTTGCCGCGAGATAGGAATATATATAGATGTTGGAATTAACGCATTACAAATAAAAGAAGTGTCAAGATATGCAAACCGTATTGTGACGTGACATTTTCTCACTTTTCTAGAAATAACTGGAGAATTTGATGGCAAAATGTTTCCAGTTTTTCTCCGAACTATCTGCATATGCATGAAATAATATCGCACGCTATAATTTGCGGTGAATATACGTCACGAGTGAAAAGACGGGCGCGATATCGCAGAGAATCGGAGAGAAAAATGTACATTTTCTAAGAATTTATATCTCCTAATTTCCGCGCTTGTCGCCGCCAATGCAAAGCTTCTCATCGCGATGCACCTGCACTTTGAAAAGTGAAACAATTAAACAATTCTCCCGTCCGTCCGACGACTATCGCAGTCGGTCGGACAATTAATCCCGCGCTTTAAATCGATTAGACCTCGACCGGAATACTGTGCACGAATACGTACCACGTGGCCCTAACAAATACAGCGGGACATGACGTCGCGGACATGTTATTTACAATGAAAATGCGATCGCGTGATCGTTTGGTAGCATAAGTAAATCTTCGCTGCGTTGCGCCTTTCGTTAACGACGATAACGACGCGGCAATGTGGCCGTCGCCTTAATAAAGAGTCAGATAAGCGCCGATAGGACCTAATTCCAGATGCATGCGTACGAACGCGTGTCGTCTGATACGGAAAAACGTGCGTGCTGACGCGCACTTACAACGATGTTCTCGTTTATCTCGAGCGATTAAATGATTTTTTTCAAGACATCATCCAACGTTTAGAGATAAAACTATTTTCGACGTGACAGTTGTATATATCTCGCTTACGTTAATTTTTCTTAATTTTACTTTTGAAAAGTAAAGATTTAATTTAATCAAATCTTCAAACGTCAAAAAATTTAATTTAATAAAATCTTTAAAAATTAGATCGATTAAATATATATTAAATAAATATACTTATATAAATATACATGTATTTATTTTCTCTCTTACCTTTTTTCATACATCTCATTTTTATTTATTACAAACAGGAAGCTTATATTTCATAATTTTCATCTGTTTCTAAAAAGTAATAGAGAGTCAAGATAAAGGAAATTGATTTTAAAATAGTCGTTAAGGATATGTCCGCTAGGATTATAAAATTTTATTGTACTTTACACAATGTTTCTCCTCGTCTTTATAACGTTTGTAAATGATTATTTCCCGTCAGTTTCATTCTCGATAAACGATATCCAATCTTCATGAAAATTAATATCATAAATGAAGAGAGGAAAAGAAAAAGTAATTCTTACTTATTTTCTCAAGTTATTGATAAAGGAAGAATAGCAATTTAGCTCATTCCCTTTATTGTCTTTAGCGAAATCATATTGGAAGAAGGTTGATTAAATTTCGCAACGACGCAGCCTGAAACGCTGATGCGTATATCTCATCTTTTGCACACAAGCTCACTTCAAGATTATCCTCGTAAAAAAATATGATATTTTATGTATGTTTTCGTTGGGCGAGAAAGATAATCCATTTATCGAGCCGCAACCTCAGCGATTCCTCCGCCTTTCCTTCCATCGGAGCATACATATAACGTACGCATTAAATACTCTAATTAATCCTCGTTGTCTCTTTTACATTCAACGAAGCACGTTTCGTTCCTGCATTTCGCACCTGCTCAATCACGAATCGCAAAAAATGTCCGGGCGCGAATGACGTTTTAATGCGCGACCAAATTCACGTACACATATCACATACACACACGCACACACGCATGCAATTCTGCATAGCCACGCGTGTTGCGGCACTTCTAATAGCTACTATTATGCGCGCATAATGGGGGTAATAACGTCTGCGACTCCGGATAAATCGATCACCATTACCGCTCCTATTACCAGTAACGACCGTTTCCGAGGAGACCTGACCAACTCGCTCACTTGCTCACTCACTTTCCCCCTCTCTCTCTGTTGCGGCTTCCAGGTGAGAACAGCTGCAACTCCACCGGCGGCGGCAGCGACGAGGAACTCGGCGCAGGCTGCGGGGAGGACATAAACGGCAATGGGGGCAAGAAGAAGCATCGTCGTAACCGGACGACCTTCACGACCTATCAGTTGCATGAGCTCGAGAGAGCGTTCGAAAAGTCCCACTACCCGGACGTCTACTCCAGGGAAGAGCTTGCCATGAAGGTCAACCTCCCGGAAGTACGTGTTCAGGTGAGTCAGAAGTGTCAAAAAAAAAAGCGAATTGACAAGTCGATACGAAGAAAATATTTTCCTTTCGTGCAAGTGTTTTAAGATTTAAACTCCAACATAATAACATTTGATTCGGAAATATTGCAGCCTTTTCTTGCACAAAGTTTAATTGCTTTAAGATTAATTATTCTTTCGAAAGTAGGCTGTAGATAAAAATATCTTCTTTCTCCTTTTTTCTTGAAATAGAGAAAGAAATGGGGAGATGAGAAACTTTATGAAATTTCTGAGATGCTTAATAGATTTATAATTTTATTTTATATTTAGGATCTTAATCTTCCAAGATGTTTCATATATTTATATCGTTTTCTTCTAAGTGAACAGTAAAATGCATAAAATCTATGTATATAGATATGTATATATCTATTATCAAATTATCATTAATTGCAATTAATTTTGGTAATTAAATAATAAAAGTTTCGAAGCGAATTTTCAAAGTTTATTTTGATATCGAAACGCGACGAAAGATATTGTGAATATTAAATAGATAAATGATGCAGCGTATATTATTGTAAAAAAAGAGAAAGCCCTTGCGAGAGAAATAATTTTACGCGACTTGCAGCATGGAACAGCTGATTTATCCTTTCTTGGCCGAAATTTGACGGATACGGATGTCGTGTTCGGCGAACAACCGGCCAGCTGGGTTAACGCTGGCGTTTCCGTGCAAACAATCGGAACAGCAATCGCTGCCTGGCGCGCTTGGGCCGACGTATTAGACTAAATTAAATTAATTATGTGCGTGACAACGATAAAAGCACGCAGTCGCGTGCGACGACGCATCGATTAGGCTCCCGGGGGCACGCTTGCCAAGCGGGGCCAATGGCGCAGCTACCGCGGTTCCAATGGTTCAACAGAATCAATTTTAAACTTGATAGGACCCTCGTAAAGTTAAAATTTACGTTTATTACTAATTTTATGAGAATTTAAAAGGTTTCAGTTATTCTGAGCCTGGGAAAAAACACGACTTTAAAATAATTATATAATATAAAAAAAAAACAATATATAAATGAACAGTAAAGTGAGACGAATTATATATTAGATATCTCAAATAACAATTTTTATAAATTAATATTTATAAAATTGCAGTGAAAAGATAACGGTAATTTCATCGTTCTGAATGAATTTGTTTTTTCTTTTTTTTTCAATAGAAAGAGATAAAAGAGAGAAAGAAAGAGAGCGGATAGAGAAGAAGGTTAAGAAAGGGGTCTGTAAAAGGATCTCTGGATCTCTCGATTCAGATTCTATCACCACCGCCACCTTGTTACGCTATTGGGCGGAGTTCTCGGCAACATGGGATAATAACCTGGCCTGGCAGACTTACGAGTACCTGCTTTTTCTTTCTACCTTCTCGAACGCGGAATTGATTTTTACCGGGTGCTCGCCTCAACTTCTTATTGCCGCGAATGGCTCTCGCCTGCTGGCGACGGTCAAGATTACGCGTCGATTGCAATTAGGGCTTTATCGAGGCGGCCATACTAATTCGTAGTGTCGTGAGCACATTCGGCTCGTTATGGGGGTTGCCATTAAACACGCAATGCGAGAAACGTAGAAATTACCTTCGCTTCTTAAGTGGATTATGGATGGCTTTTAAAAGAGCGAGCAGCGATTCGAAAGTAGACAAAGTCTAGCTGTTTGCATCGTTCATCTATTAACAAGGACTTTTATTATCTCTATTAGCGAGCGGTTTATATATCGCGAGATAAACATCGCCGGTAATAAAGTTGCTCTATAATTCTCTCGCTACTTGAAATATATAATGAATAGATATTTAAAAACGAATAGATGAATAGATATTTAAATTAAATGCAGAAAAAGTTAATGGCTAATTATATCGTAACGATGTATTATATATAGATAAAATTTTATTTTGCAGATACGCTAGTAATATAATTATATATAACGCGCGAATGGAAGAAACTAATGAGGATAAAGCTCCTTATAAATTATCTTCAAATTATTCCTCAAATAATTAGTTCGAAAAAAAAACTTAAAATATAATGATAATATATACTTTGAAATATAAAATAAAATATATAATATATATAATAAATAATTTTAAATAAAGTAAAAACACATGTACTCTTTTTTTATTCTCTCTTTCTCTCTTTTCCGCGACAAACTTGGACGTATTTATCTAATCGGCGTGAGAAAAATTTCGGAAAAGGAGAATCCTTGAGCAGAGAATTCAAAACGAAACGGATGAAGCGTCGCTCGGAGGCGTCGTTCTCCGGCGGCGGGTTCGCAATTAAAAATTTAAATTGCGTTTAAAACCCGCCCGAGAGCTACCGACGCGCGCTCTTTCGTTTCCCGTCTTGGTCGTCTCGTTCTTCTCTTCTCCGCGCAAAGGACTTTTTCCCATTTTTTTTTCCCTCCTTTTCGTTTTTCTCGAACGAGCGGTCCGCGCGCCTCTCGCCCTCGTTTATTTTCACCCCCTGCGCCCTCGAACTCTCTCGCTAACCGTGGCACCGCACCGTCTCGGGTCGTCCTCGGGGTATACCTAATCGCTTAAGCTTATTACGCCAGAGCGGACAAGGCGGTTGCGGAATCAGCTTGGCTCGCTCTCGCGAGAGATGCAGCGGGTTGCTCCATTCCTCTTTCCGCTCGCCAGCGCGCCGCGCCGTTCGGTTTCATCATTTTTAATTGATAGCGCACGCCAATCCCGTCTGTCGGATTTATTAGGCCGCTCGACGAGATGGTTTCGAAGGGATGGATGGGCAGGGGTAGAAAACGGGGAACGCGGGAGGGAAGGCTTTTATATTGGGCGTGGCGGAACGCGGACGAGATTCCGTCGGCGGTCGCTGCGGTCTGATTGTCATCGGAAAAGCGCCGCGCGTTTTCCAGCTTTTCCCAATCCGGCACACACACACACACGTGTGTGTGTGTGTGTGCTATGTGTATGTGTGTGCGACAAACTCGTCGCGCGTAAGTTTACACCGCTTTCGCGATTTCCAGGCGATTATCGTCGCTTATAGGATACGCACAATCGTGTTATAGATTATTAAGATCGAATTGATCCCGAGAAAATGAAATAAAATCTTAGATGAGCGGTTCGATATTCCTCTTGAAATTATCTCCATTACTTTGATGTGTAAAAAAGAAAAACAGAAAAATTGTGCCATCTGTAGCGAAAAAAAAATTGCAGTTAATTTTCATCAGCGCTAATGACGTTCGTGCAATTCTGAGTTGTTTGCAATATATCATATGTATATAATGAAACTTTAATAACAATTATTGTTACATGTTTGTTACGACTGTCATCAAACACTTTTTTTTTAGAATTTAAAATAGAATCTGTTTTCATTTCAATTTTGCCTGATGAAACAGGGACGGCGATTTTAAAAGACTGTAACACACACGCTTTTAAACGCCTACTGTTTGTTATTCGTTAAAAGTACATTATTTTACACGCTGCGACAAAAATATTTCGACCGAATCAATTAACGGCCAAATGGTTTAGCTTTAAATCGCGCGTAATGTTTGTTTGCGTACTAAATCGAAAAATAGATTGCAGAAAATGTAAAAGGGAATAAAAGCTCGGGAATCATACGGGAAGCCGCATCTTTTCAAAGAGAGATAAATGGAATTGGGTAATGCAACTTCACTCGGTTAGATTTATGAGCGGGTTCGCTCGTAAATTACTAACTGTTCTGTAGCTTCGATTCTTCAACTGTCGATGTGCTCGACGAATCCCGCGTTTATGTAGTTTTATGGGGGCTTCTCTCTCTCTCTCTCTCTCTCTCTCTCTCCATTTTTATCCTAGCAATAAAATTTTTATCGAAGAATCGTATGCTCTCCTTTGCATTTTTTGTCACATATATGTGATCATTTATCATTAGAAATAATCTTTTCAAATAAAATTATTCAATTTCACAAAACGAGATATAATAAGCGTTACGTCCTCGATATGCTACAGCAATATAAGAAATTTAAAACAGGACAAGATAATAATAATACGGTTAACGGATCGTGCAAATTGATTATCGATTTTTTGGCTCGCTTTAATTCGAATTCGAAATTCATGTCATTTCTCTGAAATAGTGTCACGTTAAAATAAAGAGGCTTCAAGTAATATTCAATAAATATATATAGTTTGCGCGATATTTTCTCCTCTTGTTATCGCTAATACCTACATATTGGAGTTGGCATTCATCTTCGTTTAGCCGCGCGATGTCTAATGCATCCCTAGCGCGCTCGATGATAATCTAATTTCAACGTAGCACTAAAAGTCATTTCCGTTTCGAGTCTCGCTTTTTATCGGCCTTCGTGTGCTAAAACGCCGGCGAAACTACACGGCGATCTATTATATTATTATAGACCCATTGTCGGCGAGGGCGGGTGGGAAGCGGGGCGGGGGGGGATAGAACGGGGGTGGAAGCGAGCCGAGCATTACTCGCTTGTCACGCGATCGCGCGAGAGCCCCACGTCGAAAAAATAAACGATAGCCGACTAATTCGGTGATTTGCCGGGCGACTTGGCCGAAATCGATACCGAGCGCGTTTCGATGGAAACACTTACCGGAATTAAGCCACGGTCAGGAAACACACACCTGCGGATAATCATTCGAAAAGTTGCTCACGTGACGCTCGGACGCTGTACTTAAAGAAGCGCGATCATCGAACGATCGATTGCCAGGAAATGGACGAATCATTATTTAAATTCTCAGTTATACAACGTGGAGAAAACTAGTCATGTCATTGAGTAGTCGTATAAAAATTTGAAATATAAATATAAATAAAAATGCAAATAAAATTTTTCTCTAAGTAATGTTGTTGCATTTTGAAATGAAACGGAGAAAAATCTACTCGACCAATCGCTCTCTTTCTCTCTTGACATTGCGGCATTTTCAATGAAAACAAAATTCCACCCCCCTGTTGCGTGGAGTCGATTGCACTTTGGTGGCACTGGCTCTCACCGGCGAATTATTACCTCGCGTGCCGGTGTCGACTTTATTTCGGCGAGTAATT